AGAGAAGAGAAGAGAAGAGAAGAGGGAAAGGAAGGGAAGGGAAGGGAAGGGAAGAGAAGGGAAGAGAAGAGAAGAGAAGAGAAGGGAAGAGAAGAGAAGAGAAGAGAAGAGTGAAGGGAAGGGAAGAGAAGAGAAGAGAAGAGAAAAGGGAACTCTGAGTCTTAATAAAGGACTTTTAAAAAAAAGAAAGAAAGAAAAAGAAAAAAGGCAATGTGGTGTAACTCTGGGATGAAAGCTGGACCGATCTGTCAACAACCAGTGATGGCCACCACCTTGGATGAGCCATGGAGGTTCCCAGGGCAGAAAAGCAGCTTTGGAGTTTTATTTTTATTTTATTTGGTTTGTCAATTGCTTACAAGATAACAGGTATAAGTAAAAACATAGTTATGGATACATATAAGAAAAATAAAAGAAACAATAGGACAGGGACGGTAACGATGGGACACCTGTAATTCTTTGCATCCTGCTGACTTCCACTCCGTGTCAGTTCAATCCAGCGAAGGCTGACGGCTGCATCTACCTCTCATCAAGGGGAGAAGCAACCTAGAACGAAAGAGGAAGCTCCAGACAGCGAGAGCAATTAACCTCCTGAAGTTGTGGCTGCTCCAACATTGGAGGGTTTGAAGAAGAAGACTGAAATGGTATAGGACTTCCTGCCTGAGCAAGGGGATGGACTAGAAGACCTCCAAGGTCCCCTTCCAACTCTGTTCTTTGGGTTATGTTTACAGCTGTAGGTGACGATCAGATAAAACAGGTTGGTGACATTATTGTCGAGACCAAGAGGATCCTATAAGTAACCCAGTTTCCTCTTTCAAGGTAAAGCGGATCTAGGACAGCGTGTTGTGACGGCTTGACGATGGTCCAAGAAACGTCATTCCGTCCCCTGCAGCATGAAGGGCTCCCGGAAGGCTGGCATTTTAGTCTGCCCGCTTTCAATCCAGAGAGGGAAAGAAATGTATTTCATTGACATGTTAATGTGACTTCTGCTCCCTCTCGAAGGAACACAAAACACGGTTATATAAAATACAGGTTGTAGAGGTTTGTATCATGTGCAAAAATGCTTCAGAAAAACAATGCTTGCAAATGGTCATAGACTAGGAAAAATGGATTGAAGATGTATATGTTTGAGAAAAAATATTATCCTAAAATGCACCCTAGGGGAATAAGCCTAGGTAAATATTCATTGAATACTTGAACGGATGCCTCCTGGAACACCAATCGATCTTATCTTTTGTTTCATTCAGAAAACTTAAAAGAGCATCTATTTGGAGCAAACGTCCAAAGATAAGCATATATATGAAGAGATCTTACACTGCTTTGCAAATAAATCCACTCCAATTACTCACCTCCCACCCCGGTGAATTTATTTATTAGGTTTACAATCCACCGCAATCTCCAAGACTCTTCATAGACGTCAACAGCAACGCAATAAAGCATCTCGGCAAAAGAACATAACGGCAATGAATCAAAAGCAACGCAACCATCAGTCACTTCCGTGGCATCAGCTTCTTCTCTCAGAGGCTTCCTGAAACAATTCCACTTTTCAACAGCTTGCAGAAAGATAATATGAAAGTGGGGTCTCCTGAGCAGGTTATCCCAGGAT